CGACTCCTCGGACTCCCCTCCCCTCCCCTCCCTCCCCTCCCCTCCCCCCCCCGAACACTTTCTGCCTCCACCACCAATTCCCCCCCACCGAACGCAGCACACGTTCCCCCATCTCCGCCGTCTTTGCAACCCCCCCCCTCCAACGCGACAAGTTCCCACACTCGACTCCACACTCAACATGGAGTCCTCCGAATCTGACTCTGCTGGCGATACCCCGCGTGGACTGGACATGCCGCTGCTCTCGGCTCAGAAGGGCATGTCGGTCTCGGTGCCGAAGCCAACGTCGTCCAACTCGTCCGACTCGGACGAGCCGAAAGCTTCGGCCTCGGCCTCGTCACCCGTTGCAATCATGGCCACCTCTGCATCTGCAGCCTTTCCCTCCACCTCGGGCGTCTCGCCGTCTTCACCTTCGCCGTGTCCGCCTCGCTCGCCACAACGTGGCTCACGCCACAACCCGCTCTCGTCGCCTGTCGTCCGCCTCGACCCGGAGGCTACCGCCCTCGTCACCCCGCAGGGCTCAGAGGTCTTTGGTTCGGAGGTCTTTGGCTCTGTCCCGGTTCATGCCGCGGTGGCCCGTGCCCTTGCTGCAGACGACGAGTTTGCCTCTCCCTCGGCTGCCGGCGAGCTCGGGACCTCCTTCGGCAGTGTTGCCGCGGCGCGGATGTCCCCTATGGTCTCGGCGGCCGTCGCCTCGATCCTGCCGCCGTCACCTGACGGTGCCACACCCATGGCTTCGGGCATTGCCGCCCACGCCTCGTTTGCTCGCCCCACCCCCGACCGCCCCATCGCCACCTCGCCGTCGGTTCCGGACCAGCCGGTCCTCCTCACCCGCACCTACGACGAGGCCGGGGCGTCGGACCACCCGGCGTCGTCAACCTTCTCGCGGGTCATCATCGTCCACCCTGACTCGGAGCGGTCGCAGATGGAGCGGCACGTGTGCGAACAGCTCCACAAGGCGCTTGAGCTCCGGTCCAAGTATGTCCACAAGCTCCCGGAGATGTACGCCGACAAGCCGGCGTCGCCGGGCATGCCGTTTGACCCGTGGAATGCGCCGATGCCCGAGCCGCTCGACGCCGCGTACGTCCTCGAGTCGCGCGAGGGTGTGTACTTTGCCGTCAATCCCGAGACGAGCGAGGCCGTTGGTGGCGACGTCGTGCCGGACAAGACCGAGTTCTCGCACGACCTCGCCTGGCTGTCAGCCACCGTCAACGATGGGCCGGTCCGCTCGTTTGCCTGGCGGCGGCTCAAGCTCTTGGAGGCTCGCTACGAGCTGCACAAGCTCCTCAACACCGACCACGAGCTCATCGAGGCCAAGCAGACCTCACACCGCGACTTTTACAACGTCCGCAAGGTCGACACCCACGTCCACCACACCTCGTCCATGAACCACAAGCACCTCCTCCGTTTCATCAAGCACAAGCTCAAGTCCGAGCCCAACACGGTTGTCGCCGTCTCGGAAGACGGCAAGGAGGAGACGCTGGCTGACGTCTTCAACAAGGTCGGACTCACCGCATACGATCTCTCCGTCGACCACCTCGACATGCACGCTGGCCAGTCGCACAACCTCTTCCACCGCTTCGACCGCTTCAATGCCAAGTACTCGCCCATCGGCCTCAACCAGCTCCGTGTCATCTTCCTCAAGACCTCGAACCACATCAAGGGCCGGTTCCTCGCCGAAATCACCCACGAGCTGTTCGAGGACTTCCAGCAGGCCAAGTATCAGTTTGCCGAGTACCGTATCTCCATCTACGGCAAGGACCCCGGCGAGTGGGCTTCGCTTGCCTCGTGGTTTTCCGACCACAAAATCGCCTCGCCGCACGTCCGCTGGCTCATCCAGGTTCCACGCCTCTACGCGGTCTACAAGGCCTCTGGCCTCATCTCCTCGTTTGGCGAGATGCTCGACAACATCTTCCGCCCGCTCTTCGAGGTCTCGCTCAACCCCGAGTCCAACATCAAGCTCCATAACGTGCTGCAGCAGATTGTCGGCTTTGACTCGGTCGATGACGAGTCCACCCCCGACGTCCCGCTCTCTGGAGTCTTCCCCTCGGCCTACGACTGGACGGTGCCCGAGAACCCGCCGTTCTCCATGTACCTCTACTACCTCTACGCCAACCTCGCCTCGCTCAACCAGCTCCGCGCTCTCCGCGGCCTCAACACTTTCAAGTTCCGCCCGCACGTCGGCGAGGCTGGCTCGGTTGACCACCTCGACGCCGCCTTTCTTCTTGCCAACGGCATCAACCATGGCATCAATCTCCGCAAGTCGCCGGCCATGCAGTATCTGTACTACCTGGACCAGGTTCCAATGGCCATGTCGCCGCTCTCCAACCACGCCCTCTTTGTTCAGATCTCGCGCTCGCCGCTGCCGCGCTTCTACGCGGTCGGCCTCCCTATCTCGCTCTCGTCGGACGACCCGCTGCAGTTCCATCTCTCTCGCGAAGCGCTGCTGGAGGAGTATGCCGTTTCGGCGCATTGTTCAAGCTCTCTGCCGTCGACCTCTCGGAAATCGCTCGCCAGTCGGTCCTGCAGTCCGGTTTCGAAGACCCGGTCAAGCGCTACTGGCTCGGCAACAACTACAAGGCTGCCGGCGCGTCCGGCAATGACATCTCGCTCTCCAACGTGCCCAACATTCGGCTTCTCTTCCGCTGGGAGCTCCTGCTCGGCGAGCGCCATCTGGTGGTCTCGGAGGCGAGCCTCGAGCAGTAAAACCTCGGGCCACCGGTCGGCTAGCGGCTAGTGTCGCGCCTTTGCGCACGTGTCGCATACGCGGTGCTTCTTGCCGTCGTCAAACAGCACGATTCGCGCCTTGGTGCACTTGTTGCAAAACACCTTGCCGCACAGTCGGCAATGGTGCCGCCTCACCGAGATCGAGAACTTGGACTGGCACTGGGCGCACTGGAACGCCTCCGAGTCTGGCACCCATCGGACGGCGGGCGCGGCCAGAGCAGACTCGCTGCCGTCGCCGGTCTCGGCCACGTCTTGCTCGCTCTCGACCGCCTCCCACGACTCGTCCCAGGAGAGCGAGGCCTCATCCTCCGAGACGTGGTTGGCGGCTTCGCCAGGGTGCACAGACGTGCTGCCCTCGGCCTCTCCGGCGCTCACGTCCTCGCCGGATCCGGCCGACAGGTAGTGATCGTCGCCATCGTCACTTAGTTCGTCAAGCAGCGACGGCGGGATGACCGAGAGCGATCGCTCGGCTTTTGGTACCAGGCACTGGCACCTGGCTGGTGCGGGATGACCAAACGAGACATACCGACCGTAGTAGCCTGTCCAGACTGAGACGTGATGGCCAGTCGTGGCGGCTGTGAGGACCTCGTCGCAGGCGTCGAACCGCGGGTTAATGAACTGATCGCGGGCAGCGAGGAGGCAGGGCCACACCGAGAGCGTCGACGAGTTGAGATCGGCCTGGACCCGCTCAGCCTCAAAGTTGAGCAGGAACGTACCAAACAAGTCCGAGTACGCCGCATCGGCGAGCGCAATGAGCGCGTCCTCGTTGTACTCAAAGGCCCACGGGAACTGGTGCAGCAGCTGATAGAGCGCGTCCAGAAACTGCAGAAAAATGGGCGACTCTTCTGAGGTCGGCCCCACACCCTTGGACCTGGACACGGGCGATGCTTCGTTCGACGAGCCGGAGAGCCGGCCGAGGTTGCGTGAGAGAGACTTGCCGAGCGAGCGCATGCCGCGCAAGACTGACGACGACGACGATGGCCCGTCGCTTCCGGCGGCGCCTGGTCCAGACCCCGCGTCAAAGCCGACACCGGGCACGGACGGGTCGGGCGTCGCGCTCCCGCCGCCCTTGGAGCTACGTGATGAAACTCGGACGTCCGCAAACTGGGAGGTGCGATCGGCAAACTTGTGGCCAAAACTGAGCCACTCCTTCTGGACAAGGGTGACGAGACCGTCGAGGGTGCGGTAGTACGGGTCGACGAGGACTTGCGCGAGGCTGGTCAGCTGCGGCGTCCGGTCCCAGCCGTGTGAGCAGTGGACAAGGACCGAGCCGGCCTCGGCGGTGAGGATGTGGGCGATTCGGTTGGCACCAGCGAGAACCTTGGCGACGTGGTCGAGCCAGCCCGAGTCTGCAACGCGGGAGAGCCACTCTGACGGGCGCGCGCGCGCTTTGGGCGAGTTGACTGCCGCTGCAAGCTTGTGCAGCGAGTCGCGCATGACGTGGATGTTGCCAATGCCCATAAATTCAAGGGTCACGTTGGGGTAGTTGCCGATGCGCTCGGTCCCGTAGCCCTTGGCCGAGTTGAGGGCGGCATTGACGTACGGCCGCGCGTCGATGATGACAAACGGGGCGCCCGGGTTGAGCGCCGCCATTGCCGCCACCAGCCGCTCGTCGGCGTCGCACCGGTGGCCGATGAGGCCGGTGGCCGGCTGGGCCGACCGAAACAGCGCCGCCGGCGAGCCCGGGAGCGTCCAGCAGAGCACCGGGATGCGCTCTTTGGCCCGGAACGACGCTGCAGCGCGCAGGATGTCATCCGCAACGCCCGCCGGCACGTACAGTACGCTCGGATACGAGTCGGAGAGGGCGTACTCGCTGTTGACAAACGAGGCGCGGAAGCCGGCGTCGGTCGCCTGCATCCGACCGTCAAACTCGTCGACGACCGAGAACACGCCAAGCCCGCTGTCCGCGCCAGGTGGCAGAGAAGCGACGCGGGCGTAGGCGCAGGCGATGGCCGCTTGCGATGCGAGATCACGACCGGCCGCCTTGGCCGCCGTCCAGTATCCGGCCAGGGTGGCGAGGAGAGCGCGGCCGGACTGAGGGGCGTCAAAGGCGAGAACGATGCGTCCTGCAGCACCGCGGAGTCTGAGCTCCAAGCACGATCCGAGCGAGGCCTTGGCCACTGCCAGCAGCGGGCAGCGTAGCGGGCGGCCGCCACAGTCTGGGGCAAAGTGGAGGGCAACAGCAGTGACAGTGACGACGCCCGGGGCAAAGGCCCCGCCCCAGGCAAGGTAGCCCGGCGTCTCGTGGAGGACCATGGCTGCCGTGCCGACGGCCAGCTCGGGCGAGCACGGCAGGTCCATTTATGCGTGAGGCGAGGGAGCGAGGTATGCGTGTGTGTGTGTGTGTTGTGTGTGTGTGTGTGTGGGGGGGGGGGGGGGGTGACCCTCTCTCTCGCGTGCGCGACTTGGACTTGGCCGTGCCGGTGCCATGGCGGCGGCCTTGTCGTGCCCGGGCTGGCGACCACAGGCCGCGATCGGCTGCACTCCGGACTAGCATCAGAACAATAGCGTCAAGAGAGCAACCACACTTTGTAGCTGGGTAGTACTGGTAGTTGCAAAGGCATTCACAAGTCATGATGGGCTTCCACAGGGCGCGATTGGCTAATACCACAAGCCATGAGGACAGCCTCAAGCTGTAACATCGGGCTGGATCGGCCGTGATGAGCCAGCAGCACCCCACGCCCGGGACTCACACCTCAATGGCGTCATAAAGGCAGGGTAGTCGCTGCAGTTGATCAACCCCAAGCCCGATCGGCCTGCAGCCGTACGCTGCCTCAGCAAAGGCCGGTAGCAACGATTTCCCCAACCCAACTTGCAACGCAACGAGAGAGTCAGCCAGCCAATGGCCAAGCAAATCCTGTCATTGACTCCCTGGCCATGGCGAGGACCACCACGGCGACGGCGACGGCCAGCCGCTTCCTCACGCAGCCACCGAGTCCACGACCACGACCACGACCACGACCACGACCACGACCACGACCACGACCACGACCACGACCACGGTAGCCATACTCCTCTCACTCCCTCCCCCCTTCTCCCACACTGTTCTCACGTCACGCACCAGGGGGGAAAGCCATGGCCCAACGTCCGGGTCTGCTACGACGCATCTCGCGGCGCATGTCGGGGAGAGAGCGCCACGGGTCAGCGGCGGCGACGGCGGCCGCGGCGGCGACGGCGACGGCGAGTGGCTCGGCTGGAAGTGGCGAGGGCGGGAACCCGCTGGAGGAGAGTTTGGTAGGAGAGGACGCATGCGCACTGTGCGGTGTGGCCTTTGCCAAGAAGCGCAAGAGGAGGCGGTGCGTCTGTGCCGCTTGTGGTCTCGGCTTTTGCGCGCCATGCCTTCGCTTCCCTCGCCCGCCACCTGTCGCCTTTTCGCCGCTCCACGCGCCGCCGCCGCCCATTGCTCCTGCCCCCGCTCTGCAACAAGCAGACGCCACCGCTGCTGATCCGGCAAAGTCCGGTGCGGACGATGCCGTCTGCAAAGTCTGCTGGCTACAGGAGACGCTCAAGTTCCAGGCCGAGTTTGCCGATCATTTAGGCCAGCTGGCCGTCTCCAAGCGTCGCGCCTCGATGGTTCCGCTCTCGCAAGCCTCGCGCTCGGTCTCAGCTGCTGCCGCTGCTTCTGCTGCAGTTGCGGCCGCAAAGTCGCCCGCCCGTCCCAAGCGCCCTCTGCCGCCGACGCCGACGCTGACGCCGACGCCGACGGATACCGACAGTGATGCTGCCGCGGGCGACAGCAGCCGGCCCAGCTCGCTCGACCTTACCCGCGTGACCTGTACCTGTGTTTGTCACGAGCAAATGTCACTTTTTGGCATCGCCGTCACCGAAGACGGGTGCTGCCGCTGCTACGGCCGCGAGGCGGGGCCGGGAGGCGCGGATCCGGTGGCTGCATCGGTGGCTGCCACCTCGGACGCACTCGATGCCGTTCTTACTATGGAGGCGGCTGAACTGCTGTTTGGCGCCGAGCCCGCGGAGGCTCAGGACGACGGCAGCGACAGCGCCTCCGACTCAGGTCCAAGTTCGGGGCCCAACTCGGGCTCAGACTCGGGCTCTGACTCGGACACGTCGTCAGAGCCAAGCGGAAGCGAAAACGACTACGAGCAGCTGGTCTGGGTCTCAGTGGCGGCTGACGATGTTGACGAGGCACTGGTAGGCTCGGGCGTGTTTGTCAATGTCAAGTGTCTGATGGCCGCCGCGCCGGAAGCGCGCGAGATTGGGACCGATTCCGGCTCGGCAAACCCTGCAGCGACCGAGTCAGGCTTGGAGATCAGCGGCGGAGCGAGGGCACGAAGCGGGTCAGACTCGTGCGCGCTCCTTGCTCGAGGCCGTGGCCAAGGCAGCGAGCCGGTCGAACTGCGGAAGCGTGTGCTCTCGTCCGAGGTTGCGACTGCCGAGTACAAGCTCGTGGGCCACACGGAGATGCAGATTGTGGGCGCCGAACGAAGTGCCCGGTTTCTCATCATGGTACCGGTTCCGCTCTGTGCCGGCGCCGAGCGGCGGTCGCGGTCGCGGGTCCATTTTGAGCTCTGCGCCGGCTCGCCGAGCACAACAGCCAAGAACCTGACGCTTGTCACCTCGCGCGACCGCGAAGCGGCCAATGCCGAGACCGCGGGGCCTCCCGGGCGCGCGCGCTCGGGTTCGTTCCTCTCTCGCCTTGGTTCAAAGCGGCGCGGGTCTTCGGCGGAGAGTAGCGCTGGCGCGCGGCATAACCAAGAAGTGTCGGAAAATTGCGTCGGGCGCGCGTCCTTTGCCATGTCTGCGCTCGAGCTCGAGCCGGGCGGCAGCGTTGGTCGGCCGATTCGAGTCCCGGCGACCGGAAGCCCAGCTGGTCATTTGGCGGTGAGCGTAGAGGACGTGGCCGTGGCGCGGCATCGGGCGCTGGCCGAGCGGCGATACGCGCTGCGCGCGGGCGAGAGCAGTATGGTGTTGGCAACAGAGACACTCTCGCCGTCGCCGTTTACATTTGACGTCCCACGCAAGCTGCTGCTGATGTACACTCAGGAGCGAATGGCCCAGCTCGCAGAAGCCACGACGCAATTTGCCGGAACGTACATGGGAGTGGTCGAGACCGGAAGACCGACGCCAGGCGAGGAGCTCCTTGTGGACAAGATCAACAAGCTGCGCCACTACTTGGCTGGAGTGCTTGCGACAGGCCTCGCAGTCTGCCTCGCGTCGTCGGTCCACGGCTCGCAGTTCAAAGCATCAGCTCGCAAGGCTGACGATGCGGCGCGATTTGTGGCGACAAATCTATACATCCAACGGCTGCGAGTCCGTGGTCGCGGGTTAGAAGTCGAGGCCGAGACCGAGTACGTGACCGTGACGTCGGGCGCGCCGGCGGCCCACGTGTATGGGTTCAAGAACGGCGGCCTCCGCCAGCTCCACGAAGAGCTTGTTGCGCTGGAGCGCGCAGGGCTCGCCTCAGCAACAGGCGACGACGACGGAAGTGGTGGCGATGACGAGGTCGTGGCAGCAGCGCGGGAGGAGGCGCGGCAGGCACGACAGGCACGGGTTGATGCGGTGGCGTGGGAGATCTCGATCCGGGTCGAGGTCGTGCTCTGCCATGTGCTCTCAATGCTGACAACGTCGCTAGCGACCGAGGCGCGCACCGCAGCCGACCGCGGCGACGTGGCGCGGCTCAATTCATGGGCGACATGCGGGTATCTGTTCCAGATCGAGTCGCTGCTTTCAACCCGCGGGCGCGAGCTGGGCATGCTCGGCGACATGGACGTGGGCATGCGGTCGCTGACCAAGGTCGACGTGCGGTTGCGTTTCTTCCCTGTGGCGCTTGTCGGCTCTGCGTCTGCGGCGTCGTTCGACGTTGTGGAGCTTGGGCGGCGGCCTGCGGGCGGATACGTGCTCTCGCTCTCGCTAGCGGTGGCGAAGCAGGCAACGCTGGACACGCTCGGTGGCCGGTGGCGCGAGTTTGTCGAGTTTGGCGTCGTGCCGCTCCTGGTCTCGCAGGGCATCAACGAGCAGCAGTCACTGGCCAACTTTGGCGAGGCCCATTCGAGCCTCCGTTTCCTACTGGGCTCTGCCGAGCTCCAGGGCCTCATCAACGAGGAAGCGCTCGAGGCGCTGCGGGCGTACACGGCACGGCTCGACCGCGGCGCGGCCGTGGCCGAGCTGGTCGCCGAGCTGGAGCGCAGCCTCAGCGCGACGGCGCGCGGCTCGAAGAACACCGAGCTGCTGCAGATCGCGTCGGCACTGACCCGGGCGGTCGGAGGAGGGCGCGCGACGTGCTGTAAGTCGGCCAAAGACCGCACAGCCATGTCGGTCACCCTCGAGCATGCCTTTCTCCTTGCCCGCCATCACGGGGTCAGCGAGGACGTTGTCGACGTTGCCGACACCATGCGCGCCTTTGGCGTCCGCAAGGACAACGTCAAGCTCAACACAGGCAAGACCGGCTACGCCTTTAACGCCCTCCAGAAGCGCATGCTCCCCGCCGCCTATCAGCCGCCGCGCAAGTAGCGGACGGCAGCCGCGCCTCGTTGCCCCCCTCTCCCCCCGCGCCCTTCCCCAAAGGACACAACACGAAAGGCACCAGCTAACCATCATGTTTACTCCTACTCGTTTGCTGTCCCGTGGGCGACCTTCTCTGTAATGACAGGCGTCTTGAGGGCCTGGGAGCACTGGGCGACGGCAATGCCGAGGCCGACGCCGACGCCCATGCCCACCACCGCCATGCGGACAGCATTCGAGTCTGACCACAGAACGGAGAGTGTGAGACTATCAGAAGCTGTATGACCCCCTTCTCTCTCTCCCTCCCTCCCCTCCCCCCCCCCCTCCCCCCCCCCTTCTCTCCTCCCTTCCACCCATCCCATGTGCGTACTCTTGATGAAGAGGACGGCAGAGGTGAGGCCAGCCAGGCCACCACCCGCGCCATAGGTCATGGCCTTGGCATAGCACTGGTCAAAGATGCCAGACACAAGGAGCTCAGACTGCCCATGCCGTCCACTGCTCGCCATACTCTACTCTCTACTCGTCCAGACAAGTCTTGTTCCAATCCCTGTCCCTGTCCCTGTCCCCGTCCCGGTCCCTGTCCCCGTCCCCGCCCGTGTCCCCGTCCCCGGCCCCGGCCCCGTCCCCCCTTCCCTGCCCCTGTTTCCCCCTGCCCTCTCCCTTCTCGATCCACCACCACCCCGATTCCGATCCCACCCCCCCCACCATCGCACACACACCTAGCACCAACTGACCCCCCCCCCCTCCATCGCTGCCACCTTACCCTCACCTCGTCCTTCCCCATCCGAATCCCCTCCACCAGCTTCTCCCTCTGAACGCCAGGCGTCACCCCCCTCCCCTTCCCCCTCCCCCTCCCACCCCACGCCCACCTCACCCTCACCCTCACCCCCCTCCCTCCTCCCCACTCCTTCCCACTCCCTCCCTCCCATGTTCTCCTCGAGTATGGTCAAACCGCGTGGGCGGCGGGGCGGGCGCAGAGGACGAGCAGGTGGGCTGGCGGTCGGCTCCATGGATCCGTTGGGTGCGACGGCGGCCCGGACCAGGCCGAGCCCCCTCGCCGATCTGGACGCTCTTCCGGGCTACTTTGCCTCGGTGCACTCGTCGTACGCCATGGAGGCGGCGGCCGAGGAGGCACCGGACGTGCTAGAGTGGATCCGCTCGACCTCACAGCTCATTGCCAACGACTATGACGACTCGATCACCGCCACGCGCTCCCGCCGTCGCCGCTGTGACGACGACGAGTTGTCGTCTGGCTCGGGCTCGTCCGGCATGCTCGGCTCGTCGTCGTGCTCGCTATCGTTCACAGCCTCGGGCTCCGACTCGGAAGAAGATCTCATCGACTCGATTATCTCGTCACACTCGCTGGTCTCGGCCGTCGGCTCGACTACTGCCTGGCGCTCTACCACCGTCGGCCGCGCCTTCCAGGCCTCGTCGCCAATCAAGGGCGCTGTCCCCTCGCGCCGCGGTGCAAACCCACCGCAGTTAGGTGTTGGTTCCAAGTTGAGGAGGCAGGCGTCGTCTCGCAAGCTCGGCCACTCGCAGGCAAACAGAGCAGGCAACCCGCACTTCACGTTTGTCCGCACGCCGTCCAAGATCATTGCGTCGCGCCGGCAGCGGCCAGCGCTTCGCAAGGTGCAGTCTTTCGTCTCTGGCCAGACCGAGGTCAACAGCGCGGCGTCGATCCCCAACCGCAGAGTTCAGACCACCGTCTACTCGCTCCGAAACCCTCCGTTTGAGCCGGACGTCGAGGCCGGCGTTGCTCTCGTCGTCTCCACTATCCGCATTCCCAAGCAGCACTCACCGGCCACGTTTGGCGAGACCTTTCTTGGCTTTGCCTCTCAAGAGCTCGTTGCCTGGCTCTTCTGGTACGTTTTTGTCATCTACTTTGAGGGCCGCAGGCAGCCTGAGGCCGAGGCCAAGGAGACCAAGAAGGCACGCGTTCTCACCCATGCCATCTGCTCCAAGTTCATCGAGCTTGTCCAAGCCTCGTTCTTTGGCGTCTACCGCAACGTCTTTCTCCTCTACGTCGGCTATGCGCTTGCAGAAACCGTCTACCTCCTCTTTGGTGCCTCGTTCCCACTGCAGCCCAAGGCAGCAGCAGTCTTTGGCCCTCAGTTTCGCAACGCCGTCTACCGCCTCGTCTGCTCGCTGCTCAACGGGTTTGAGGTCTCGCAGTCGCTTATCGAGCACATGCAGACGACACTTTTCCCATCGGCTAACTTTGCTTCGTTTGCCTTGGAGTCAAGCGACAACCGGCCGCTGCTCAAAGTCTTCAACACCAAGGCCATGTTCCGACTCGAAGAGTCCAAGCTCGGCCTCTCGCGCCGGACCCGCAAGGGGATTGGCCCTACCGTCCAGCCGCCGCCGCACCGACAGACGTTTCTCACCCAGCCCTCGATTGCTTCGCTCCACGCCGGCTCGCGGTCGTCGCTCGCACACTCGGCGTCGGGCCCGCTCGAACCGGGCGCTCTTCCTCCGCCGGAGCTGGACAAGCTGATGCGCATCACCCGCAAGACCTACGACTTTGCCTGCCAGCTGGCGGTCCTCCCCGACATCAAGCGTGCCGAAGCGCTTGCCAAGGCCCACGAGCAGGCGACCCACTCTGCTGACGAGAGCGATGATGACACCGCCGCTGGCGCAGCTGGTCCTGTTTCTGATGTTCACGATGTGACGGACGCCTCGCTCCGGGTCCCTCAGCGGAATATACCATTCTACGAGCGGGCTCAGGTCGAGAACTCGCACCAGATCGCTAATGAGCCTATTCGGCGGGAGGTCCTCGACGTTTATCAGGTCTCACCAGCAGTCACTCGCTACCTCGACGGCTCGTCGCCGTTTGCTCGCAAGACTCAAAAGGTGCCGCGAACAGTGCCCGGCAAAGCTCAACCGCTCATCTTTGACGACGAGGGTGGAGTTGTCACCCGCGATGCCCCCGAGCTCTTCCAGCTCGCGTCGCGCGTCATGACTAGTCGTAACCGGGCTGAGCAGGAGACTGCCGAGGCAGCCATGTCACTCAACAGCGAGCGAATCAAGTCGACCCGGGCCTGGCTCAACGGTGAGCTGGCCAAGCTGCAGTCGCTCGAGGCTCGTATCGCTGCGGAGCCCGACAAGCGGCGCAAACAGGCCATGCTTGACCGCACAAACAAGCGTGCCCAAGCCATCAGGGCCTCGCTTTTCAAGTCAGCCGTCACCTCATCGGGCTCCATGCCCATCGCACAGGCGCTGCAGAACGACATCCGTGCGTACTTGGAGCGCCTTGACGAAGGCGCTGCTGCCCGCAGGGACATCATTATCTCCCACACCTTTAAGCACGGCCCCAACGGCGAGCTCATCCCGCAGGACGACGACGGCCCGGGCGCAATCGCCAAGCACGACTCGTCGCCTGACAGCGACGCTGGCGCCGAGTTGGACGACTCGGACGCTGCCCAAGAGGCTGCGAGTGGGGCTCGCAATCCGACGACCGGCTCGATGGCGCCGGTCGAGGTGCGGTCCATTCGCATCCGACGCGGCACGACGCAGGCGACCCAGAACCTGCTCTTTGATCTCGAGCTCTATAACGATGCCGAGCGAGTCGCCCTCGGCCATTCCATCGCCGCCACCGATATCGTCCGCCGCGCCGACAACACCACCAATCTTTTTGATTCGGTCATCGACGAAGAGCGGAGCCGCCTCGGCAAGGTTGACGCCGACATTGGCGGCACGCTGCATCTTTCGTGAGACGAGTGATGCGGTAGCCAGACTGCAGCTCACGCGATCTTGGCCTTGCGGACCATTGATCGGGCGTACGGGCCCGACTTTTCGTGCAGGTACGCCTTGGGCGTGGCGGCGATGATCCGTGACCACTTGACGGTGCCTGGAACAGGAGGAATGAGAAGGTGCAGCGCGAGCTTGATGCCGAGGATGGCATGCTCCGCCACAAAGACGCCACCAATCTTGAGCACCGCGGCCGAGACGCCAAGCATTTCGGGCCATCCGTACCGCGCGCACCACTCGTCGATCGAGTTGGTTGTCATGACTAGCAGGGCCGTGTTGACGAGAACACCGACAATCGAAATAAAGTCAAGCAGGTACAACCAGACGCCAATGCCAGCCGCAGCACGGGCAAACGGTCGTGCGTACCCACCCGGCGAGCAGAGCTTGTGTGCGTCAACTCGGATCTCCGCCAGGTTGTTGGCGAGAGCGAGGACGGCGGCGAGCGGAAAGGCTGCGCCAAAGAACGTGACATACGCCGTTTGAATGAGCATCTCCAGAAAGTCTGAGATGGTGTCATCATACCGAGGACGGTTGGTCTGGTCGATGAGCTCGGCGTGAGGCGAGTCGCGGGCAACCGGAGCCGCCGCCAGCGGAACGGATGCCCGAAGGAGCGTGATGACCGCCGGAGCGAGCGTCTCCTTGAAGTTGTCCAGCACTTGGTTGAAGACAAGGACTACCAGCAACCGCTGGCGGAGCTTGTCCCAGTCCCGCAGATAGAAGGCCAGGTAGAAGAGTGCAGCAAAGTGGTTGACAAATTGAAACACAAAGAGCTTGGCGAGGAGGTGGTTGCGGGCCGAGGTTTCCGACTTGTAGTTCTCCCACGCGTTGATGCGCCGGGCCACGACCGTGTATACCCGCGAGAGGACTTGGATGGCGACGGCAGAGACAAGGCCAGGCACGATGCGGATGACCTGGCACCACCACAATGCTTCGGCGGTCACGTGCGGTGGCGACTCGTTGCCGAGGAGCGAGGCCTTGATGTGGCCCCAATCGTAGCACGCCGGGTACTCGGCCTCGAGCGTCCGCGTCAGCTCTTGCACACCCCAGATCGAGCCGGCCACCACAGCCACAAACAGGAATAGGACCACCGCCGACGCCGCATACTTGGCATACCGGATGTACGTCGGATACTGCAGGACGTAGAGGCCACTCGGCTCGTGGCGAATCCACTCGCCCTCAAAGCCTGGTCGGTGCTCCCACCGGGTGGCCGGCAGCTCCAGTTCGCCATCGAGCCACTTGTAGGCCATGGCCGACTGCCGCCGCCGCCACATCTGTAGAAAGACCGACGACCAGAGCGAGAGGCAGATACCGTAGGGGATGAGCGGCCACACAAACGAGGCGTCGGCGAGCCACTGATGGACAAAGACAAGCAAGCCCAAGAGCGCAGGTGCAACCAGATACACCGTGTACATGTGGAGCCAAGCAAAGTAGAAAGCAATCTCAGAGCCAAAGTAGTTGTTGATGGCGTCAAGCGGGAGTGCGCCTAGGCTGAGCGTGAGCTTGAATGACGCCAGTGCGTCGAAGAGCTCAGCCTGGGATGCCTTGTCATGGAGGGCGCAGACGTCGGCGAGGAGGCCGGTGCTCTCGAGAGCACCGATTAGCGGCAGGTCGACCAGCTCGTTGAGGGTGGCATCGGTGGCGTCTGCCTCCCCATCGCCGGCTCTAATCGCGTTGCTCATGGTCTCTGCCAGCGCTGCTGACGTCCGCGCCGATCGTACCACCGCCAGCACCATCTGCTGGACCCGGGCCGAGCCGCAGAGCGTTAAGATGCGGACAGCCTCGGCGGCGCCCACTTGTGCAGCGGCAAAAGCATCCTCCAGCGCCTTGCGTGACGATGGGCCGACCAAGACGTAGGCCACACCCTGACGCGCGCGCATCAGCGCGTCGGCGCGCCCGCGGGCTTCACACTCGGCTTCACCATCCTCCACCTCGACTTTGGCCTCCAGGCCCAGCCCACGTAGCACCTGGGCCGTCGCCTCGCCCACGGCCGCCATCCTCGCACGCGCGCTTCGGCCGACATCCTTGCTGCCACTCCTGCCACTCCCACCACGCTCCGCCCGGCTCTTGAGGGCTTCGCGGACTCGAAAGGCCAGGCCGTGGGCATGGAGGGTAAGGCAGAGCTGGAGGGCAGACTCGGGCCGAGGCACATGCTCCTCAGCCGAGCCCGACTCGGAGTCGCTCTCCCACCAGTGAGCCTCCGACCCAGACTCGGACGAGTTCATGGAGTGGAGTGTGGGAGTGACGGTGGCAGTGGCAGGCAGGTGACAGCTGCCGGCGGCAGGAGGGATTTACGGCTGCGAGGCTGGATCTCACACCAGATCAGCAGAAGACGACGAGACGGTGACATGACTGGAGGTGGTTGGCGCAGCGCGACCGTCACAGCTAGCAGACGACGAGGTCGAGGCCGTCGATGATGTTTCAGTCGCCGACGATGTCAGCTCGCTCTCGTCCGAGCCTTCAGAGTCTGGAAGTGGGTGATGGTGGATAATGTCATCGCGGGGACTTGCCGGCGAGAGATGCGCAGCCTCAGGGGCAGGCACAGGAGGCGGTGGCGGCGGTGGCGCAGCCTCAGACGCAGACTCGCTGCTCGCGGTCGACTTGTAGTTGCGAGCTTGCAGCGTGGCCTCGACATCGTTGTGGTAGTGGACGGCGCTGGCGAGGTCAAAGTTGAAGAGCGAGAGGTAGTTACGTGCGATGCGCTCGGTAGCAACACCGGTGATGGCCATAAACTGGGCGATGCGCGGGCGCTGGGCCGAGGCCGGCGTTCGCACTACAGGCGGAAGGGTCGACCCGTCAGCGGAGTGCAGGGCGCGGCCGCCGCCCGACTGCGGCGCGTCAAAGCGGAAGAACTCGCTGGAGAGTGGCCGCCGTGATGCGGTTGCCGGGTGGGCCCGGCTGGCGGAGAGCGGCGAGAGCCAGCGCGAGGTGACCGGTGCCAGATTCTCGCGAGCAGTGCGTGGAAAGGCGGAAAAGTCAAAGACGTTGGCTGCGTTGTCGTCGACGCCTGCTGATGAGGCGCTGGTCACGGCCTCGGGGGTGAGCTCGAGCCGGTTGAGCCCGCGGCGGAGGTAGAGCGGCGATGCGCGATCGTTGGCCGACTCGGGCGTATGGCCGTCGGTGGCCGGGCCTCGGGTCGGGAGCTGGAGCCGCGACGGCCGCGGCCGAACAGGCTCGAGCTGGATGCCGTCGTCGGAAGCGGAGCTTGCGCTGCGCGATGTAGAGTGCACGTCAGCGTCCGAAAGCCGGCGCGGGGCGAGTCTGGTTGCGGCTGGGACCGGAACTACTTCGGGCGAGCGGGCGGTGATGTGCGAGGTTGCGTTGCGCCACGAGCGGCGCCAGTCCGGTGGCGGGAGCGGTGGCGGTGCAGGCGGCAGCCGATCCGGCCCGTTCTCGGATATGAGGCGGATGTGGTCGTGGAGCGTCATGCCAGCGCCGGCCTCGGGAATAACAAGGCGGCGCGGCGGCAGGAGCGTATCGCGCTGTGCGGCCAGCGGCAGCGGCGCCGACGGCCCAGCGGCGCCCGACGGCCCGGCGACATCGCCCGGCGATGATGGCGCGAGCGGAATGACGGGGTCCCAGAAGCCGGGAGGGACGTAGTCAAGGCCGAGGTCGCCGAGCAGATCGTCGAGGGCATGGCCCGGCTCGTGCGGCATCGGCGGCGGCGACGGCGGGCGTGGAATGGGCTGCAGCGGTACGTTACCCATGTCCTGCAGGCCAAAGCCGCCGATTATGTCGTTGGGCGTGAAGCCATGATTCCGCATCGCGTCGGCGGTGCGGGGCGGATGGCACGACGGGCACGACTCGTCGCCGTAGCAGTGGGCACATGGCGAGCCGGGTCTGCAGTCGGGACACGGGAGGCAGTCGCAGCGGTCGTCGCAGAAGAGGCCGTGGTCTGAGCCGCCGCATGGATGCGGCTGGAGGCACACGATGCAGTAGTGATGGCCACAGTTGACGCACCCGGTTCCAGGCGTGATGTGGTGGCAGGCGTGGCCGCGCCACCGCGACGTCGGCACACCGCACGATGGGCACGGCTTGGACGTCGACGCAATAAAAGCCTGGGTCTGGCGGTCGTCACCGCGCTCCATGGCGCGGGCGTACTCTTCGCAGGTGTAGCCGTCGTGCTCAAACGAGAATCCAAGGCACTCGGCGCAAAACTCCGAGGTGCAGTTAGGGCAGGTGACCACGTACCGATTCGGAGCCGACTTGGTCACCGCTTCCCAGTCGGGCTTGATGTTGAGGAGCGAGCACGCCGGGCACATGACGATGTCGTCCGAGGCAAACGCCTTCATCAGCTGGAGCGAGATGAAGCGACGGGCAAAGTCGATGGCGATGACCATACGGCGGGCGAGCCGCTCGATGATACCTGACTCGATGAGCGAGGCTTGGAACATGGGATCGTCCGGCGCCAGGCCCATGTCTTCGGCGAGGCAGCCTGGGCAGCGGGCCGGGAACTGGTCAGTGTCGATGATCATCTGCAGCGACGACGCCGCGCACTCGTTGCAGAAGCCATGGGTGCAGTTTTTGCGGACAAAGCGGACAGTTGACGGGGCAAAGTAGCAGATGCCGCAAACATCCGAGGTGTGCGGCGCAGGCGCGGCTGTACCGGCAGCCGCCAGTGCATCCATGTCGACGGGCTCGGCACCTTCAAAGTCAAAGGCGGCGCCTTCCCCGGCGCTTGCCCCGGCAGGTGTGGGCAGCGTCGGGTCCGGGCCATCCTCACCGACTGGAGTGTCGACGTCAAGAACAACCGGTTCGATGGCGGCTTGCTGGGCCTTGAACTCTTGCAGCCGGCGGAGGAACTCTTCGCGGCGGCGAAGCGCAGCCTTCATCTTGCGGGCGGTGTACAAGTGATCGAGTCGGAACGAGGCCATGCCAAGGACCAGGCCGGTGGCTAGGACGGCAATGAGGATGTTGCCGATAAAGCGGGCCCAGTCTCGCGAGGCATACACACACTTTCCGGCCGCTTTGTCGCACTCGTAGTAGTCCTGACAGTGCCGGTCAGACGAGCAGACATTGTAGCAGCTCGAAGTGATCGAGTCGCACAGGTACGGCGCGCACGCGAGGTCAGCGATGTGGTGACAGGTCCGCGCGCCGGCACCGGTGGCGGCCACCGGTGCGACATCGTCGACCCGGCTCCACATGAGGAGCAGCATGGCGACGACGACGCCCACGAATACGGCGCAGCAGCACGAGGTGACGCTGATGAGCGGGACCCGGTACCGCTGGAAGCCCGAGAGCCAGAGTCGGGCGCGCGGCCGCCAGCCGGCGGTCGACGAGATGCAGATAAAGCATAGCGAGAAGGCGAGGAGAACCGCGCCGGCGACGACGACGGCGCTGAGTCTGCGCGGGCGCAGGAGACCGCTGTACGGTGGTGTGGCGCACTGGCCCGCGCGGCACTGCTGGCCATCGATGCACTCTTCAGACGTGGTGCACGAGTCGTAGCATGTCCCGGCATAGACGTCGCAGCGGAAGGGGAAGCACCGCGGGTCGGTGGCTGTCACGCACGACGTGCCGTTGACAGCACCAGGCGCGGCGGGAACAACGAGCTTGGTCTGGGTCCCCATCCCGACGCCGACAGCAGTCATGACAACGGCAAAAGTAATGACAAGGTAGCAAAAGGCGGAGAAGGCCTTAGCGGTGTGGGAGTCGGACTCTACGAGGGACATGACGCCGGCTCGCCACGGAAGCGACAGGGTGCAGCGCGCGATGACAAGGACAAGCCCGCACGAGCCGCATGCGGCCGCCATGGTGACAGTGACGACAAACCATGTAGGAAAGGCCGGGGCAAGATGCGGGGTGACGGTTCCGGCGTGCGGCGACGGACTGCCGGCGACCTGGGTGAGGCCGAGGGCGAGGCCGACAGTGAGGGCAATGATGACACAGCAGAGAATGGCGCCATTACACGAGGCTGGAGCCAGGTCGTACTCGTGATCGACGACGTACCGGGTGTTCCTAAAGACGGTGAAGAGAATAAAGACGCCGAGGAGTAGGACTACAAGCGGGAGCGGACTGACGAGGGCGATGATGGTGGTGGCCCACGCCGGAAGAGTACGGCGCTTCGAGTCTAGCATGGACTCTCGCGACGGGCCGTCGTACACGCACTCACCTGACTTGGAACACTTTGCGCCGGTGATGCACTCGTCGTCGGCAGCACACGAGGCACGGCACTTGGACGAGGTGAGGTCGCAGTAGTAGGGCGCACAGGCGAGAGCGTCGGCCTGCGCGCAGTGAGCGGTGCCATTGAGTGGCGCGGGATGAGCAAACTCGACGTCGTGCTTGGCAAGGCCAATAAGCGGGCCGGCAACGACGACAACAACAATGGTGAAGAGGAGAGCGCAGAAGAGGCCGCCGACCATGCGCTCCTCTTGGTTGTACACGCTGCACGGGTCGCACTTGTAAAAGAAGCACGAGAAGCAGCAGCAGATAAAGACGGCGATGGCGGCAACGATGGCGACAGTGCCGCCGACCGAGACGGAGCGGACTTCGACGCCGGCAAAGCCGGGGACACACTTGCCGGCCGAGCACGAGAACGAGGTGAAGCAGTCGTCCGAGGTGGCGCAGGCATCGTAGCACGCGCCGATGTCCTCGTTGCATAGGTACGGGGCACAGGCGCGGTCGCCAGCGCATGTGGTAGAGTTGATGGCCGGCATGATAGGTACGATGGTGGCGCGTGGGAGGCCGAGGCCTAGGCCAAGACCAAGAGCAATGGCGATGCATCCTGTTGTGGCGCAGCACTTGGACCAAAAGTACCAATCGTAGTCGGACTTGTTGGCGTTGATGTTCCAAAACAAGGCGCTGACCGAGCAGAGGCAGAACCAGCCGAGGGCGGAGAAGATGGCGATGGCGGCGACGCGGCCGGCCGGGTTCTTGGGCTGGGACTGCCCCTCCGAGTTGGACGGTAGATTGGTGCGGGTGGAGACGCAGACGCCGGCCTTGCACTCTGCGCCAAGCGAGCAGTGCGCTTGGGTGGAGCATGCGGTGAAGCACTGCTCGACACGGAGATCGCAAAAGTAGGGCTCGCAGGCCAGAGCCTGTAGCGAGGTGCAGTTGCGGCCTGCGCCTGGCGCAGACGGAGTTACGTCGGCCGACCAGAGCCCGAGGGTGAGGCCGAGGGCCAGAGCGGTGACAATGCAGCAGATGGTGGCAGCCTGGGCAGAGAGGACTGCGCGCTCGATGCCGGCCTCGCCGGGCGAAGCGCATCGGGCGCCTGGCGAGGCCCAGTACGAGCTGCAGCCGCAGGCGATGGCGGCGGCGCAAGCGCCAAAGATGGCGACAACGACGACGGTAGCCGTGGGCATGATGCCGCCGAGAATGCGGCCCTGTGTCAGTGAGCTCTCGCAGATGCCGTCGTCGTTGCAGAACGAGTACAGGCCGCAGTGGGTGTCGCTGGTGCAGGAGCCAGGCACCGCCGTGTAGGCCTCCTTGAACTGGGCGCCTACCCTAGCCTGGACAGGCAAGGCTACCAGCGCCGCCAGCAGCAGCAGTGACAGGCATGCTGTCGTGTGTAGGGGCCGGGAGGGCATGGCGGGCGGGTGGGGTGAGTGGGGTGGAGTGTGTGTGCGTGTGGGGTGGGGGCGGGGGAGGGGAGAGGTTGAGACTGCCGGTTTGGGAGGAGCCGAGGAAGGGGGGGCAGGGGGGGGCGGGGGCGGGGGGAGGGGCGGAAGGTGATTGTGATTGTGGTGGTGGTGGTGGTGGTGGTGGTGATAGTGGTGGTGATGGTGGTGATGGTGATGGTGGTGGTGGTGATGGTGATGGTGATGGTGATGGTGATGTGGTGGTGATGGTGGTGGTGATGGTGATGGTGGTGGTGATGGTGGTGGTGATGGTGGTGATGGTGATGTGGTGGTGATGGTGATGTGGTGGTGATGGTGGTGGTGATGGTGATGGTGGTGGTGATGGTGGTGGTGATGGTGGTGGTAGTGGTGGTGGTGATGGTGGTGGTGATGGTGGTGGTGATGGTGATGGTGGTGTGGTGATGGTGGTGGTGATGGTGATCGTAGTGGTAGGGGGAACTGTCCCTCCGCTAGTTGCTACCTCTCTCTCTCTCTCTCTCTCTCACAATGGCTGCTACTCAGTCGCTGGCTAACATGATGGGCACCCATCCGGGCATTACCTGCGATGGCTGCGGTGTCGAGCCCATGTTTGGTCTCCGGTACAAGTGCAGCAAGTGCGCCAACCATGGTACGGGCGATGTGTGTGAGGGGTTGGGGGGTTGGGGGGGAGTGAGGGAGGAGGTGAGGGAGGGATGAGCCGTACGAGACCGAGGGAAGTGGTGGCCGGGGGAGAGGAAGGGGGGGGGGGCTGGGGATGGCGGCTGAGGCAAGGAGTTGGCAGAGGAGACGGTGCAGTGGTCTCGGTCGAGAGTGTAGGGGACCGGTGGGTGGTAGAGGTGGTCCATGTGTCTGAAGCTCGCCTTGGCGGGGCATGAGCCTGGACAGGGAGGTGGCTCGGTTGGGATCAGCTGGAGGTGGGGTTGGGGGTTGGTGGAGGTGATGGTGGAGGTGATGGTGACGGTGATGAGGAGGAAAAGGGGGGGGGCCGGCGCCATCAGAATCTCGCTCACCGTAATGTAATGTCTCTCTCTCTCTCCTGCTCGCTCGCTGGCTCCCATCAACCGCTCTTTGCTCGCGATGCATGTCGTCGACGCATGGGATGGCTCTCGATGGTCGCGGAGACAGACCTCTGCGAGGCCTGCCACGCGACGTTCCTCAGCGGGACGCTGCCGCACAACAACCCGAAGAACCCACTGTCGCGGCTGGCAGAGGACCACGCGTTTGATCCGTTTGTCGATCCCACCGGCAAGCAGTTCCAGCCGCTGAAGAAGGTGTCGACGACGACGGCGACAGTGGCCAAGGGGCCCAAGGTCAAGCCGAACGACAAGTGCCCTTGCGGATCGGGCAAGAAGTACAAGAAGTGCTGCCGCAAGCTGTGAGGAGCGGGTAGGCTGTCTGCGCACAATAAAGCATGCTGTGATGTTTAGCACCTGCACAGGAGGGAGGGCGAGAGGGCGAGAGCGAGGGCGAGCGCGCTCAGGCGAGGGCGTCAAGCTGGCCCTGGATGGTCTCACACTGGAGGAAGAAGTCGCGGAGCTGGTCTTTGGACATCTCGACAATGACATCCTCGGGCTCGGCCGAGCCACCAGGCGGGGCTTCGAGGCCGAGCTGCAGGATGGCGCGCAGCTCCTTCACCCCGCGGAGCGAGTCCTGGCCCACCTCGAGGTGGGTCCGCGACTTGATGGACTCGAGAACGCGCGGCGTGACGGTCGAACTCTTGAGGTTCTCCAGCAGCGTCCGCCCGTTGTCCTGCCACACCTTTTGGACCGAGACGATCTTGTCTGCGTCCATGGCGGCGGCCTCAAGGGCGGTGCCGAGCTTCTTGATGGACAGAGTGTGGTAGGCTGCCTTTTCAAACATGTATGTGGCGGCGTCGAGGATGGCGGTGATGTCGGCCTCGGGCATGCCCAGCACGCCTGCCAGCTGAGTCATTTCCTGCGGCGAGAACGGGGCCTCGGAGACCCTGTGCAGGTTCTGCACGATGCGAGTGAGCATGAGCGGAAACCGCTTGCCGTCCACGGCGTTGATCAGGCGGACGGCATTGTTGAACCTGCCCGTGCACAAGGGGGGGGGGGCGAGGAAGGGGAGGGAGGAGTGAGGTAGGGGGGGGGGGGGAGGGGAGAGTGTGTGCGTGTGAGTAGGGGTGGGTGGTAGGTGGCGGGTGGTGGCGGGTGGTGGTGGTGGTGGTGGTGGTGGTGGTGGGTGTGGTGGCCAAGTGGCCGGCGCATGACTCGTCACTTCGCCACCACCATACCCTGTATGGCTACGGCTCAATGGCTAGTGGCTGTACCTACCGTGCAGTGAGCTCAAAGACCGGAGGCTCTTCGGTGGCCGCCATCTGTGCCAGTGCCAGTGCCTTTGAGACAGACGGGTGGTGGTGGGTATGGGCCAGGGAGAGGGAGGGGTGGGGGTGTCGAGCACAGGTGGCGGGGAGGGGAAGGGGGGAGGGGGGGGGAAGGAGGGATGTAGTCATGGCGATGGGAAGGGACACGACAGTGTAAGGATCATCATACGGGAGGGGGGGGAGAGGGGGGGTGGTGAGTCGGTACGTAGTAGG